GATACTTAAGCTCCTGAGACAGCAGCTGAAAATTAAACTCAGTTCATTAGATACACCAAGCTAAAATGAAGACAGTCTAATACCAGGGTATGCGGGGCTTGAACAAAGTCTTAAGAGGCATTCAGTTCCCTCAACAAAAGGCTTTAAAGGATTTTAAAAAAAATACATTTTTTTAGTATGTGGTTGTGGGTTGTGGGGAGATGTTACGTGTATCACAGTGGATGCAGGAGGCTGTTCACTTCCTTTTTATTGTGGAGTTTCAATCTGTGACATGAGACTGCTCACATACACTGCTGCTGCTGCTGGCCACAGCGGCTCAAATTGGGCAAGTGTCAGTTTTAGAAGGAATTTAAAAGTGAACTTAATGATTTTGTAATTATTTCATCCATCCATCAGTTTTCCGCCGCTTACCTGAGTCCAGGTCGATCAGTCATATTACTGGGAATTATTATTATGTATACCCGCGAAGTACTGAAAAAAGTGATACAAATGTCAATAAAATCTTAAATTCTCCCCCTTGGTTTTCCATCATTCTTTGACTGATATGACCATGAAAAAGGTGATGAATTAGCTTCTCTGTGGTATTAAAAAGGCATTAAAAAAGTCTCTAATTTTTGCGATTTCCTCGGTAAGTGAAAATTTGGTTTTGCTTATGTTAATGCTTTTCATTGTTCAAAGATTAAGATGCTCCAGCCAGTCACTCTCAGCTGGAGTTAATCATTGTATGGGAGCAACTGTTTTCTGATGGGGTCGAGTCCAGATGAAATTTTTCATGTTTGCATTGTAAACCATTCAAAGTCAGTGACTGGCTTTCGAGGATTTATATCTTGCCAAACGCTCTTTTACACTGACTTTAAATACGAAATGAGTGCTGCTACACGTGCTACCGTGCTAAAATTGGTTTGCTAACATGTTAATGTTAGTGAGCTTGTAATTAGCGTGTCTAAAGGTGTACTCACACAATTATTTACATTAACATTAGCTACTGATTGCTGTGAGCTAAATGCTAACCTGTGCAGGAGCCTAAAGTACAAAAAAGTAGAAAGTACGGTGTCTGGCTACATAGAGACTGACTTTTAAGGTGGAAAACTGGCTTTTCCTCTTGCACAACCCTGAGGGCACAATTTATATTTTGGTTTCATCATTTCTACAAAGTATTGCGTATCATTAGTGACGCTCTTTTGTCTGCACATTTTACACATGATTAGCCTTTGTTAGTCTTTGTCCAATGTTTGAGTCCGTGTGGCGTCATCGATTTGTTTAGTTTCTAAAACAAGTGTCTCCAGTCATCATCAATAAGGGGGCTGTCAGAGTCATGTAGGTTTCCAGCTACTGTGAAGTCCAGATGTTGCTGGTAAAACTTACTGCTGCACTGAGCTTAGGTATTTTCCTTGACCACTTCTTTAGCTGCTTGCAAAATTGTTTTTCTCTTAGATACTCTGTACCCTGGCTCTAGCATGCCGATCATTTTTTAAAAATCCTTCCCCCTCAACATTGTTTACAGACCCCATGTCCGGGTCAACACGATGCTTGCCGTAATGCCTTTTTGCTATTTCTCTGTAAGTGGGGGCCTCAGGTCCAGAGTTCTCTGGGTGAATGTGGGGCATGGCGAGTCCTCCTCTTCCACAGAATGGAAAGGATGCACCTAGCCAGCCATAATTTAAAAAAAGTTAGCCTTCTACAATGACAAACTGTGTAAAATATGTACTGTCCTTTGTCAATTTGTACAGCTAGCTAGCAAGTCGCCTGTGAAACTGAGAGTCCAATCTGTGTCTTTTGACTGACAATTTGACTTCATGACTCTTAGGAGGCAACCCTAGCTCTCCATTTTTCATCCATGCACAACATTTATTTTCTGTTGCATCATAAGTCTTTCAGCCTCAAAGAGCCACTTGTGTGTCTATAAACTTTCTGTTTCAATTAATAAGAATGTATTTGACCTTTTTACAAGTTACCTCAGATGGAGCTCCAGATTTGGAATATGAAACTGGATGTGACCTTAAATCGGTGTTGAGACTGGGTTTCACTCTATCTACAACCAACAAGAGACTATTTTTGCTCCTCAATAGCATCTTTCCATTTATAATGAATGGATGAGACCTCCTGCCATTGTCTTATTTTCTACCCCTCCTCATTCCGTGAACAATCTCTCCTTTGAGGATAGATTAATTTAACACAGATTTTCCTGTTTCGTCTTCATTGTTTGTCCTTCCTGAGATATGGGCCCTCTTTGAGTTGATGATTCACCCGGCTGTACAGTGCCACCGAGTTCACGTCCTCACCAACGTGCTGTTTCAGCACTAAACCCATGGGTGAACTAAAATATCATCATCATACCCCCTCCTCAAACACAGGTCACTGCCACTGGAAGCTCTACCTTTATGTATTTAACATAATTCTTCCAGGCTTAGTGTTTGCACAACTGCTTTGAATGGTCCCTGTTTCACCATAACTTTGAATAATGTGTTTTCATTTCATTCAGGCTTGTTGTTACAGTTGTTGGTATAGTAAGAGCTGGTTTTACAGCCTCTCTGGTATTCTCTCTCGTGCTGCTTCTCATTGCTTCAACAATGTTTACCATCTTGCTTGCAGTAATAAAACACAACTGACATGAAAATGATTTGGAAACACTGTATGTTGAGAAACACACTGTAGTTTCTGTCTCTTTAAGATCTTGATGGCTTCTCCGCTGCTCCCTTGAGGTCGCTGGCCTTCCTTAGGCCGCCTGCCAACTGCCATGTTACTGTCAGGCGTTTGCAGAAATGCCAGCAAAGCCATTAGTCTAGACTCTTTTCAACAGTCAGCAGACTGGACAGCGTGAGCTGCACGGCGATGCAGAGAGACAAAGGGTCTGGCCTCATAAAACTACGAAACTCATTACTTTTTTTTCTTTATTTCCTATCACATGTGTTATTGTTCACTTCAGCTGTGATTACTCTCCTCCCCTCTCCTCTTGTGATCTCTGAGACTGCAGCCAGACAGGACTGAGATAGCTTTGAGGCTGTAGAAAAAACCACCTTTCCGATTGGTAATTATACATTTTATGCATTGCTACTGAGGCCTAGTCAGTCATTTTTAAAATATGTATGAGTGAAGTAAATCACAGTACCTCCATGTGCCCCCTAGTGTCTCACAGCTGCTTCTTGCATTTTTGTCTCTTGGAGAACAGCAGCATCTGGTGGTTGACTGAGGAAATCACACGATGTTTTTAACACACCACATTGACACTGCAGTAGTTCTTCAATCTCTTTTGATTCAGGGAAGTTCACACGCCTTCAGCATCATTCTACTTCACACTCACTGTTGCACACTAGGTCAAAAACAGGCCAAAGATCTGTTCCTTTGGAGCCAATGGAGACTATATTAAAGGCATCTTACCTGTAGCTGTTAAAATTAAGAGAACCTTACCTGGGTTTTCCCAGCTTGTCTGCAAGTCAGACAAGAGATCTTCTGGTCATAAACCACTCTCTCTAATTTTTAGGCTCTTGTTAATATTTTTGTATTTCTATCCTTGTTAAGTTATACACATCTGAAATGAAACTACACATTTTAGTTTGACCTGAATCTGTTTTACTTTCCTGTAAAGCAAATTTACACCCAAGCCATATTTCTCTTTTTGTAGAAATCTCCACAACTTTTCTATGAAAACCCTAGAAATGCTCACAGATGGTGAGTGGCTAATTAGAGTAATCCCACTTGAAGGGTCAGGGCATCCTGATTGTGTGGTTGCCGATGGGGGGACCTGTTGCTTTGTTAAAAATCCTCTTAGAAGTCGGGTCATGTGACCCCTCTGTGGGCTGCCGGATATGTATGGAGACTTATGGGCATTCACAAGCTGGATGGAGTCAATCATAGTGCTGCCTGGCAAAACCACTGTCTGGTGAGAGGTTGTATTAGTGCATGTTTTATATGTTCTTAATTATATACCTTTATATACAACTTTAAATGTATAGTACAGCCTCCAGTCAGTGCACTCTCTCTCTTAAGGGTGTTCATTAAGACCAAAATCTGGATGTAACCATTTTCCACATCAGCTATGCCTCTCCACAATCACATGGTGAAAGAGGCCTGGACACAGGACAGGTATGTCAGCATTAACACGCAACAATTCACATATTTGCAAATGTATTTGTCATGCAAGCATTTTTTGTACATGTAAGGTATCCTCCTCGTGCCTTCCATTAACCCTACCTGAGGCCTTGTGGTTTTCTGAATGATTATTCCTGCTTTACCACACCCACTTTCCGATGGTACTAGCCAAGTGGTGCTAAACCAATAAGTAGCAAGGGAAAGCATTACTTGTTGCTGTCAGGCAGACCCACTTAGGCCCATTTCCCATACCCTGTGTGACCTGTAAATGTAGAAATGACACTGAGTCTCTGGCTACAGTCAAGACTGCTGGTTGCCAAAAAATGGGCGCTATGTTTAGATAGATAGATATGTAAGAGAAAGTGTTTCAGAATATTTACAGAAAAATAAAAATCTTAAGTATTAATTCTTTACAATTGCAATAAAGGAGTAACCACTATTATTATTGTAATATTGTTATATTTAAGCAATAACATGTACTTGTCATTATTATTTTTGCCTCAGGATTCAGGAGGATAAAGATTGTGCATCATCCCTGCAGCAGCAGGTTCAGGTAAATCTGAGTTTTAGGAAATATGAAGTCCCATTCCCTCAGTTGACACCAGAAATGAAAAGCAAAGATGTTATACTACAGCCACAGATGCTTCCGCCAGTCTGACCTATAAAGTGCAATAGGTGTTAAGGAAGGAAATAAGAACAAACATCTTGTAACAGCTGTGCTACAGCTGCCATAAGTATCCTGGACATAAAAACATTGAGTTTTAAGGTGTCTGGATAGTGAACACATGTGATAAACAAGTCCTCTCCCTCCTCCCGGGCCTTTGTTGGTTTCTCCCGTTGACGTGTTTCTACAGAGCAGATGGCTTTACACATAAATCCTATTAACAACTTTCTGCTGATGGAGACGCAGTGAGTACAGGGCTTTCTCACTCTTTCATTATCTCCGCTGAGAGGCCTGCTTTTTTATTTTCTAACCTTTTAAAAGAAGCAGCGGTAGAGCTGAAGTCAAGGCCACGCCATGTCTACAGAGAAGGTAAAAGGGTGGGGTTGTGGTTTTGTGGATGGTTTTTATTGACTTTCAAATGAGATTCTCAGTGTTCATTCAGCTGCATAGTAATGACATGCAATGATATTTTGAGAGTGAGACATGATGGCTACCAAAAAGGTACTTTAGTAAGAGTCAGTTAACACTTTTGCTGTTGCCATACAACAATATTTACAGTTTGACCATCTATGCAGAGTTTAGAATTGTGGTGCTGTGCATTCATGAGGCACACAAGTTTGTTTTTTTTCCTGTTGATGATGTAGAATACTTTGGTTATTTAAATTTAAATCAAAGACATTTGAAAGAATGATTACGTAGATAATAATCTCTGACCCACATGTGAGGTAACTGGTATAAATGCCAGCATAGGAAGCGTTCCATTAGAGTAAGACATGTTATCCAACTGAGTCAATATTCATACATAGTTTCAAAAGTGGAAATCTTCCCTTTAGGCAGCTACAGTAAGTGTTGCCTTCATATCTATTATTGACTTTCATGGTTGACGATATCCAAGTTATTGCTCATCTGCTGAGCAATGCATGTGCAAAAACACGCATGAAAGGATTGAAGGTCGGTAATCCAACCACCCAAACCACTTACAGTGCTACTGTGGTGACGTCTGCAACAGCACTGTTTACTGTTTCCTTCTTTAAGGTCTTTAACGTTCCTTTTTATTACTATTAACAATATGTATGAACAATCAATAATTTTCTTTAGCTTAATAGTCAATCAAATCTTACACCACAGAGGCAGAAACTAGGTTAAAAATCTTTGTTCTGTTTTATGGAAGGTGATTATTGGATCATAATGATTGATTAAAGGATGATTTGGTTCATTAAATCAAAATCCTGTCAGTGAATTGCTATAATGAACCAGTATATGTGTCAGCTCCTCCAGTGTTTACAAAACAATAACAAAGGTCACTGGCAGAGTTTCAGAAACATTATTTTAAAAATGTATGTTTAGAGTAATAACCCAAACCAAAATGCAGTGTGTCAGAAGCAAAACAAAAGGCTTTCTCTTATATTATATATTTTTTAATTGTTGTTGTTGTTGTAAGTATAATTCTACAAAAAGACTGGCCATTACCATAAGTTGAAATATTATTACAATTGAAAACCAATGAATTATAATGGCCGTCTCGACTTTTATACAACAGCTGATTATAGTATGACAAATGTCAACTCCTCTGCGTTGAGTTGTGGATTGTCTGTGGACACAAATAGACTTCCATCAATGCAGGATCTACATCTAATAGGATTAACTTTACTGTCTCCGCTGGCTGCAATCACACTGACCTCCTTCTCCGTGACTTGGGACAGTGACACGTTGTTCCTGTCACTTTGTTCCTCGCTTTATTTTCAGTTTACTCCTCACTCCGAAGAAAGACTTGATAAAAACACAACAGAGTTCCAGTTTGTTCATTATAACATTTATATATATATTTGACTAGTTTTTGTAGAAATTATAGTGTGCAAAAATCATCACATAGACGAATGCATTAGAGGATGGATATTATGTGGAGGGGCTAAAGTTTGAACCCCCTTTGGACTTTACCTTAAGCTTGTGTCTAGATGGCTCTGATGAAAGCCAGTGTTACAGGTGACGAAGAAGGAACTTTAAGTTGAAGAAGAAAATATGAACACAAGACGGTTTATTTTAAATACAGAACAACAGACAAGAGTTAAATGTAAACCAACTTTCAAATATGACAGTTTTATACTCCTGGCTCTCATTGTGTTTCCCACAGGAAGCTCAGCAGACTTGTTTGTTGTTTAGGTCTCATTTATGTTTCATTAAGTAATTGACTTGCAATCATATGTCTTCTAACGTGTGATGTAAAGTGTTTGTGACCTTTCTGCTCAGGAGGAGGCCTGAGCACGTTACATAAAACTGTTACAGAACTTTTTTTTTTTTTCTTGTTTTTTTTGTGTCACAAAACTATTATCAAAAATAGTAATAGATTATTCAGTTCTAGAAAAATTCAGGTTGACTTACATAATATCACTGTAATGACCTCATGCCCTGTTACTTCATTGACCTGCTGTAACTAAACATGAGATCTTAAGTGAGTTTATTTGTAGTGAATCCAAGCTGATATCAGTAGCTTAAAGTACAGCGTATGTGAGGATGTGAATGATTGAACATGAAATTAATAGATTCTATTTTTTAATGGAATCACATTATTAATAGTTGTAGAAGTAGTAAAAATATGATTCTTGTTAACCTTCTTTTTTCGCTTCTTACCCCACGTCCCTCACATCTGACTTTGTAATGGTGAGTTATTATTATTAAGATCTGTAAATGTTGCTCGTTTTAATTAGTCCTAGTTTTAATTTGTTTCCTTATTCCATAAGTCTCATTTTTAATCAGTTTTGTTTGTATCTTTTAAAGAAAATTCATAGAAGCCGAAAAAGAAAAAAGAGGAGGCCAATGGCACAGCAGAAGCCAAGCTTAATGGAACTGAAGCCAAGCCCAAAAAAACAAAGACCAAGAAAAGTGAAGATGTTTCAGAAGAGGAAAGCGCAGCAACACAGAGTGAGAAGCTTTGAAGGAAGAGGCTGTGATATTTTAAGCATTTCCTGCGAAGAACGCAGATGACAAACTGTGATATTTTGAGTATAATCCAACCACATTGCTTACATTGCTTTTTCCTTATCAACATTATAGATGGAAAGAAGGTGAAGAAAAAGAAACCGGAAAAAGATAAGGATGAAACAGAAAAGGAAAAAGGGAAAGAGAAAGAACCAAAAAAGAAAGCCAAAAGTGCTCCAAAAAAGAAGAAAGGTAAGTCATTAATGGCTTTTCTGTCAAAGGAAATATAGGAGAAGTTTTCACAGTGTTGCATTGAAACTGGACTCTAAAGATTTTCATTCAGTCCTAATACAAACAAATAACTCATACAAATAAACTCTAAATTTGAATATATTTCGGCAATCGTCCCTGAAAAGACCAGAATTAGTTTGAGAAAAATGCTTGCCATCTCTTTCAGGTTCAGGCACAGATGACGATGACGATGATGAAGATGATGAAGACACCGCCAAGAAGAAAACTAAGAAAAAGACAACAAAGGACAGCTCTCCATCTGCAAGTTCTGGCAAAGAGAAGAAAACTAAATCTAAAGGTATGGCAAGAAGCAGGGAAACGGTTTTCTGTAGGCATTAGCAGTGTGCTCAAAACAACAGTTATAAGACCAGACTAATGTTAAGAGGATTACATGATTTTATTGTGTAATGGTTAGTGAGTGGGAACACTGACTTGGCAGCAGAAGCAACAGAATAAAACAGTTGAGTGAGTAATTTCCCCTTAAGTGATTACTATGGAAAATGGAATTAAAACTGATGCAATCCTGACAATTTTCCTTTTAATTCTACTTACCGCTTATAAATAAAAATGGAAGTCATTGACACAGGACTGTTTACTCCTCTGTAGCTTTTTAGCTGTTTATTTTTCCAAACAGTAAAACAAATTCTCAGTTAGCATAACCCTAATTAGTATAACCCGAATTGGAAAACACTAGTTAGCCAACAAGCTTGCTAACGCATTCGCCATAGTAACAGAAAGATTGAATAATGACACAAGAAGCGTTTTTTGTTTTTTTTTGCAGCTTGAAAAGTGAAATGAAAGAGAGATATGAGGACATGTTTTTCAGGCGATGGTGTGTCCCCCTTTAGTGTCACTTGGAGTTGTTTTTAAAAGATGACTGGACGTCTTGTTTTTTAGCTTCCAATGTACTTTTTTGATGCTGTAAGAATGGCAGTGTTGGTCTGTCCGTGTGTTGTTCCAGACTGAAATATCTCAACAACCACTGACTCTGGTTGGTTCAGACATTCCTACCCCCCTCTAGATGATTCATTCTCACTTTGCTGATCCTGTAACTTTTCACCTTGTGTCATTCTCGGGTCGAAATTTTGAGTTCTGCAATACTCTGGTTTATAACCAAATAATTAGCAAATGTTAGCATGTTAACGCGCTAATATAAATTGGGGAACATGGTAAATATTATGCTTGATAAACATTGGCAGCATTGTCATTATGAGCATGTTTATTATGCTAGCACTAACATGGCTAAGTCTTGTTCTTGAGAACATACATTTAAATTCTCCAAAACAGTTTTACTAGTGTTAGTACTGCAGACCTTTCAGTTATTTTTCCAGTGTGTCCAAGCAATAACTTAATGTCACTAATTATTTCTCTGGGAATAACAATAAGATTCTTACACACTCACTCTCATGACTTCTACGGTGTGCAGAGTTAAAACTTTTGACGTTTGTAACTCATTGTTTCTTTGACTTGAACTAAAATCAAGTGAGTTTCAGTCCAGAGATATAGGCCTACACTTGCAATTGAGCTATTTATCTCTTCTATTGAATTACTGTATGATGTAGCCCAGAGTGTTGGTTGGTCAATTGTCTCCAGAACTCTTGCCTCTTAGCTGAACTTAACCTTCCTTCCACCCGTGATTCATCCTGATCAGCCATCAGTCTTTCCAGAAATACTTGCACTAGCTTGTGTTTGTGGCTCCCTCCTCCTTCTGTAAAGTAAGGGAAAGCCAGGTGCTCTGAGAGGTAACCATGGAAATAGATTAAATTATATCAGTAGCCAATTTGGGACGGGGCTATGGATTTCAAGTGTGTTTGGATTTGGATTATCCATTACTATTGTCAGCAGTGCAAAGTATTTTATATTGCAATGTTGTTCCAGAACCACTAATATGAAAAAGTTAACTCTTTAAAGCTAATCAATATTTTAATATTAAAAATGGATCACATGACCACTTTCACTTGTGCGTGAAAGGGGCCACTAATGCCACAGAAAATTATCTCTGCAGTTTCCATCAGCTCTACCGAGTGTTTTATTGTCTTTCAGCTCATTGTTTTGGTTCTCCAGCGCCTGTTAATTTTGTGGTTCCTGTCCAGCTCCAAATGGCAGAACATGTAGCAGCTAAAGAACCAAATATTTCCCGCAGGAGTTGCTGGAGACCAAAAACAGAGCTCAAAGGAGAGTGAGTCTGGATTTAGATCCATCAGGTGGACAGAAACATGACTATAAGTCAGTCATGACTGCTGGATATGGAAATAGGCAGCAGTCTGCTAACACGTTCAAAATATTAACTTAAAAGTCAATAATACTGTGCCCCCAAGTGGCCAACCCAGGTGGTCATTCGTCTTTTGCAGTCATTCTTATATATTGTTAAAAAAGTGTTTTAAACCTTTAGTCACACTATGTATTTACATGGCAAAAGATTTGATAAAGAAATGGCACACTCCATGACTAGTTTACATTCAACCTAACCAGTTAAAGCAATACTACCAGTGACTAGACCTATTTTGAGGAATTAGTACATGCTAAAGTGCTTATCTTAGCAGATATTTAACCATGTGTTTTCAATCCCCAGAGTTCATTAATGCCAAAACTATACAGGCAGCACAAACAGCTGTGAGCAGTAATCAGTCAGCGAGTAGAGATGTGAGAGAGCATGTTGGGACAGATTCAATATCATGGAACACATTTTAAGAGTGCGTGTTGACAGTAACGTGAGTGTAATCGAGGTTTTGAGGACACAAGACTTGTGCCACTGGATCTGAGTGAGGAATTTGGCATAAAAAGGTCAAGTGAAAGCAGAGAAAATATCTGAAAGTAATGTCAGTCTACTTTCCGACTGTGCTTCAGTAGCGTTTTTCCTAAAACACTTTAACTGTTAAAGATATGACCCAAACCTAACAGCCGGATATGGGCGAGTCCTGGTGAAGCCTAAAGCCCTCTCACAATCTCAAGTGCTCAGAATTTGACAAAACAGCTGGAAGATACAGTGAGAGCAGGTTTCAAACTGAGCACGCACAAAATCAAGATTGCATGCTAAAAATTTGTTCCGCTCTTTAGAATCTGTCACGGTCTCAAGTCTTTGCTTGCTGATTGATTACAGTTTATTTACAGTTGTTTGGCTCTCGCGCCACACTTTCTCTCCTGTAAGAAGGGGGATTTACATTATTTGCCTATTGAAAAAATAAAAATAAAAAAAGATGAAGATAATTCTCCAGTTTGGTGTCACATTGAAGAACGGATAACATTTTCCTTGTTTTCTCATTTGTTAGAAGACAAAGATTCTGATGGAAAAGAAAAAAAGTCCAAGTCAAAGGAGAAGGATAAGAAGAAGGAGCCCGCTTCAATGTTCCAGATAAATGGAGAAAAAGACTCGAAAAGCAAGAAGAAAGGTGATTACATTGCCATAAACTGTCACATCTCTAAACTTTATGGTTTGCCATTTTCTTAGTGCCTTTTACTGCCTGTGCAACCAAGCCTCTTGGCTGACTTTACAGTACAGCGTGTATCTTGATGCTGAAATGGTCATATGTAGACTTTATTTCGACCGCAGCTCAAGATCTTAGAGTTCATACAAATTTATGAGCTTTACTTGAAAGTCTTTACGTCTGTTCCTTGAGCAGCTGCCAAATCAGACAGCGACGACAGTGAAGAAGAGACAAAGTCGACCAAATCGAAGAAGAAATCCACCACTGGCTCTGCGTCCATGTTCCAAACAACAGGAGACAAAGACAAAGACAAAGACAAGAAGACGAAGAAGAAAGGTCAGTTTACAAGTAACTTATTCCTCTGTTTGAGTCACTGACAAGTAAATAACAAGTCTGTTGTGTGTTTCAGGAAAGGCAGAAGAGAGTGATGATTCCGACTCTGAAAAAGAGGAAAAATCTAAGAAGAAAAAGGGCAAAGGGAAGAAGAAAAAGGCACGTAAAAATCCCACAGTCCCACAGTCCCCCCCACAAAATACAACAATTTAGTCACTTCATGGCAAACATTTAATCTTGCTGCAAATGAGCCATGCAGCAAACATTAGTGCTTGTAATCAAAGTGTACCTTTTAATGCTTCTTGATCAGGAGAGATCTCCATCACCTGAGATTGAGTTTGACGACTTGGAGAAGTTTGTGATGGACCCGGCTCCACAGGGCATGACCATCAAATGCAGGGTGACACGAGACCAGAGAGGGATGGATAAGAGCCTCTACCCTCTGTATTACCTTCATCTAGACAATGAAAAAAAGGTCAGGGATTCATCTTTATTGGAGTTTGACAGCTTATCATTTTAAAAGTTATGTTAATGAGCCATTTTCATATATCAACAAGAAACCCCGACCCATTAAACAAGACACAACAGCACTCCTGTCGGCAGTTCAATTCATTTAAATATTTGTTTTAGTGCAGGTTTAGGGATTTGTGTACATAAGATCAGTCTCTTTCTTTTATTCTTAAGGGACTGTTTGTCCTCGTCTTTTTTTCCCTTTGTAGACATTCCTGTTGGCTGGGAGGAAAAGAAAGAAAAGTGCAACTTCAAATTACCTCATCTCCATTGATGCCACAGATTTATCAAGAGGTGGAGAGAATTTTGTTGGAAAGCTAAGGTACACTGAACTTAAAAACTCAATTCATTCATTCACACGCAGCACAGAAAGTATATGATGTGTAGTTTCAGCTCTGAGTTTTTAATTCATAAAGTCCTTTTATTCATTGCCCAGATCAAATTTAATGGGGACAAAGTTCACAGTATTTGACAACGCTCTGAATCCAGAACGAGCTCTTCCAGACATGTCTAACGCACGGCAGGAATTAGCAGGGATCATCTATGTAAGTCGGTTTACAGCTCACTGCTAATTATCTACTGTGCATTTCCTGAATACCGTTTCCTGAATATTAGAAGTGTAAGATGTGAACATTCAAATTTGACTCATTTCTGGCAACAGGAAACAAATGTCTTAGGAATGAAAGGACCCAGAAGGATGATGGTCATCATCCCAGGAATGAACAAGGACAACGAGCGAGTGCCACTCCGACCCAGAAATGTAGGATAACTGGGTTTTTTTCTGTTTTGTTTTCTCCTTGTTGTTTGTTTGTTTTATTTCACTTGGATTTTTTCTTGGATTGCCTTCAGTCGAAAAATAAATACTGCAAAATAAATGTGTTAAATAACAGAATAGACCAGGAGCAATACATATGTTCTTACATAACAAGGGTCAGTTTACTGTATCTAACAAGTATAAATATATATATATATATATATACATATGTCTTTAATAAATACACAAACAAACATACAGAACATGTTCTTCTTCTTCTCAGACATGCCTGTTTATCAAAAGTGATGAAAGAAAAAAGGAATAAAGTGAAATCGAAAGAAAAGAAGCTAAGAAAGTGTATTGGGATTATAACACAGGCACCTCCTACTGAGGATATTTTGACTTGTTGATTCATGTGTGTGAGACCATCAGATGACTCATTAGCGAAATGAAGCATCCCAGAACAATGTCAACAAATGAAACCCACACTGTCCGCAGCTTGATTTATGGAATGTTGTCTGTTTATCATGAGAGCGACACAAGGCTAATGTGTAAAATCATATTACTCTTTGTTGGTGTTCACTGACTTGCGTTTGGCCAATTCCTTCACAGGAATGTGACGGCTTGTTGATAAGACACCAGAATAGAAGGATGGAAAATCTGATCGAGCTTCACAACAAGACGCCAGTGTGGAACGAAGAAACAGCGTCTCATGTGCTCAACTTCAACGGCAGGGTCACCCAGGCCTCCATCAAGAACTTCCAGATAGTCCATAACAAAGACTGTGAGTATCTTCATGCGCCTTGTTATGTAAATGTGATGGTAATTTTACATGTTGGTCTTACTGTAAATGTAAAAGTTACGACAGCGGTCTTACTAGGTCAGATTTAGTAATTAACATTTCCACTTTGAAGGTGATACTGGTCTGAAGTTAAGGCTGTAAAATCGATGTAACAGCCACAGCAGCACAAGATAAGACATGCACAGAGAGTCTGTTTAAGATCACTTTAATAAATATCCCAAATAAGCCTTGTTTTCTTTGCTCAAATAGTATAAAATAAGTTAAGTAAACTATGAAACGCTGTGAATGAGTTCATTATGTTGTAAGGGAGATTCATCTTGTCGCATCAGTTTATAAAAATTATTTTCCCCCTTGTGGTGTGCCATGCCGATGTTATGACTTGTCATGCCACGGTTTGCTCGTGCAGTGTCAGACATTATGAAATAAGCAGCTGAATTCTCTATCTAATGCATTATGAAACTGATGAGAAAATTCATTAGGAGACTCACTAGAAAAGAGGAGGGGGGGGGGTGAGCGTCCGTCACGCCCATGATGTTCAGTATATTAGACGTCAAAGTTTTAAAATCCATCAGTGATGCAGCTGATGACAGAACAGAAAACTTAAACTTTCATAACAAATCACCATTTTCCAGCAGCGATATCAGCAGCTCTCGCAAAGCAGCTGCCGGATATCGCAGGAGCTCTTTCTGTAAATCTCCTGTCGTGTGTGAATGAAACCATTTTCATCTTGGATACAGTATGTCATCACTTTAACACATGATGAGGCCCACCATGTTATCTATCTATCTATCTATCTATCTATCTATCTATCTATCTATCTATCTATCTATCGTATCTATCTATCTATCTAAACAATTCCTTGCTTTTTCCAGTGGACTACATTGTGATGCAGTTTGGGCGGATAGCGGATGACATTTTCACACTGGACTTCAACTACCCGCTGTGTGCCGTGCAGGCCTTTGCCATTGCGCTCTCCAGCTTCGATGGCAAAATTGCCTGTGAATAACCGTTAGATCCCCACTAACCTACGCACACTGAAACCAGTATGCGACACACCCACACTTCCCACACGCATCAGACCAATCCATGTCTCTGGACTCGCCTTCAACACTTCCTGCGATAGGCAATTGATGGTTCCTTGAATGTGGCAATGCCTGGTGCTGCGCCTTCGCCTTTATGGCCGTGTGATTCCCTAAAGGAGTAAGAAACCAAAAATATTATCACCTGATCTTGCACAGCATGGCACTGGAGAGTCCTGCCTTGTGTCTCTGTAGTTTCAGTGGAAACGTGTGAATTTCTGTGAAGACTTGCACACATTCAAAGGACTCCAGTGAACGGAGAGTTACGGCTTTTTTTGAAGGGATGATGATACACCTCGATGATGAAGGTGTTTATATATTACTAACATCTTGATGTTAAGATGTTAAAATGTGTTATGTTTTGGCTTTGTTGTGCTGTATTGTATTGTATTGTTGTATTGGGCTGTATTTACAATGCCAATAGGTCACCAATGTCTTGTGTCAGATGTTACTTTGAAATGCAAACACACCAAAAAATTCAATCATAAAAATGTAATCATCATCTAGCTTCTTAACGGCAAAAAAGATTGTTTTAATTGAAGAGTTACACTTTGTGAAATATCAGCTATCTGTACAAGTTACACTGATAGCATTAAAAGAATTAAATTACATTTATTTGACCCTTATTAAATGTCATAACAGCGGTCTTGCACAACAGACTGTCCATATTTTATTGACTTTGAAACATCAATTCCAGGTATCAGGTATTAACGTCGAATATGTTGAGGTGTAACACTTTGGAATAGGAGTGTCTGTAGTTCTTGGTATCTAATGTTAACACGTAATGTTTTGATAGAATACTCGATCAAATTTAGTTCATGACTCTGGAGATTTTTCTGTCCATTTCTGATGATTCGGTTTGAGCTTCCATAGATTTTTATATTTATGTGTTTGTTTGTTTTTTGTTTGTTTGATTGATTTTTTTTTTGGTCCCAGTATTTTGTAAAATTAATTTATTTTTCTGAACACTGCCTTTGTTGCATTTCGAGGCTTATTGTGATAATGTTCAATAAAGCATGTGAATTAAATTTCCTTTAAATCTATAACTATTGTAGAAATGCAGCTATCTGTCAACCTTTCCTTAAATATTACAATATCACAATAGAAAGGAATGGATTTTGGCGTCCATGTGATGAAGACAGATACCACATAACCACTCAGCCCAGTTTGATTACAACCAGGGATGTTTTTTAAACTTCACCCTCCTCTCTCTCCCTCCCTCTCTCCCTCTGCATGTCCTCTTTGTATATCAGCTATCACTATAAAGACAAAAAGCCAAAAAAAATAACCCTCAAAAAATGAAATGCATGGATTTTGCAGACAGTCAGTATAAGCCATCCCCAACCCCTCTTTAAAGTCCCTCTCTGTGGGTTTGGTAATATGTTTTTGACATTATCATCTGCTATGAACAGGCAGATGGCAGATAATCAGAAAGGTTCCTACCAGTTGCACGTTTTGAGAGACACCCACGCTTTTCTTCAGCAGTTACCTCACATGTCGAGAGAAGCTTCGCTCAGGATGAAAAACCTGTTTGAGCCGAGGGCCTTCGGAGTAAGTGAGAGGTGTGTATTCTGCCTGAACCTGCTCAGGCAGTTGTCCAAACTCGCAGATTAAATGAAGCCTGAAGCTGGCAGCTCTTCTGGACAGATGCTGTAAGGTGAGCTCTTCTTCCCCCATTGTCTTTTTTCTGTTAACACGACTTCCAGCTAAACAACTGCCAAGATTACATGTTGTGTTGCTCATTTTCACACATTAGCTGTACATACAGTAGCTCTGCTTTTGTCTCTTAGTGGTGGATAAAGACATAAAATGTTGCAACTATGTTGTTGACCAACAGAAGGAGCTGTTGCTGAATGGAGATGTGTTCAGGGTATAAGTTTACTTTACAGACACGTACACATTTTCAATAGTGGAGCTTTTTTTTTTGTTTCAATAAATTACCCCTGGGAATGAAATTAGGTTAACTGTTTGGTATGTTTCTAAATTTTGGGTCTCCATTAGAATTTAAAATAAAGTTCTGTGGATTTGAACATAGTTTGGCTGCATAAACACTGCTGGCATCATCTCATGCAATCTAAAATTACGCACATATTGCATTATTCCAAATGGAGTACTGCCCTTGATAGCTTGTCAGGCATTGTACCAGCCAATGAGGAGTAAATATACCAAGGACCGAAGATCATCTGAGCCCAGTGCATAGACAGATATTTCCTACATTGCTTTGTCATATTTCTGCAAAGAAAAAAAAATTGCTGCAGTTAGAGAGAAAGAAGCTATCTTACATCAAGATGTTATCTTGTGTTTGTGTGTGTATATATATATATATATATATATATATATGGTAATCGCTGATTGAATGTCTGTTTGATGTTTTGTTTAGAGTTAGGGCAAGTCCCTAGGTAGAGGATTGAGGTGGGGGGGGGGGGGTAGCTTAGATATGGATGTTAATGTTAGACTTGCATCCCATTTATTTCATATGGATTATTTGGCCCATGCCATCTTATTGAACTGGTTTCTTTGAAGTGATAACAAGACACTGTATTTCTTTTTTTAAAAATATCTAAATTCTGTATTTAAGTATTTCTGCTATGCAATTTCAAAAAATGAAGAGAAGAGAATGGTGCTCTTGAAATACTTTTTTTAACCACATGAAAACTTGAGTGAAACTCTGGGAGTAAAATAAAAGAAGTATCATTTTAACACTGCTCTAAGTATTAGCTGTATCCTATTTTGTCCCCTCTTAAATATAATAGGGATATATTGGTGTATGTGTATTACCACAGACTGGTTTAGAGGGGGCGGAGCCTCCAGTGAAGTCACTGCCCCCCAAGCCTGTTGATTGACGCGCACCAGTGGCTCCTCCTTGAAAGTCTTTTTTTTTTTTCCTCCCCCTTCGTTTTCCAGTGTAGTGCGTTGATTTCATACCAAAGTCATACTTAACATTCCACTTATACTGTCAAACCTCTGAGAAATATTAGGGAAAACAACAAGGCGCCAAATTTTAACAAAGTTACTTAATTGACCGGCTGCTTTCATTGAACAGAAGAAGGTGACTGCCAAAATAAAAAGGTAAGTTCTGCACAAATGTTCCCTCTTTCTGTTTAGTGCCTTTTTCTGGGCAGTTTTTTCACGCCGCTTGTCTCGGTGAAGTTTTCAGATCATTGTCATTTTTTACATTTTTCCGTGGAGCTCCCTGCGTTGGGAGGGAAGAAAACATTTGCAGATTGATAGTCTATTGTGTTTGACTTTCCCAGTGTGCAGGGATATCTTTGACAGGCTCTATACAATCATATTTCCACCGGTAGCCCGCTCATTGACACACACAATTACAAAAAAAAAAAAGAAAAAAAAAGCTTCTCTTCTGACAGCAGAGAAGTGGGCCAATATGTTTGTTTTCTGTCTCGCTCAGTTCGTAGCCGGATCCAACACTTCCAGCCTTGTTCCTCCAGAGGAATCCGACAGTTATATACCTACAGGCTCCGAGAGACACAAACAGGAACGATTTGGAGGAATACACAACTTCAGTCTGGTTTGGATCTCGGCATCCCAAAGGTAAGACGAGTTCTTGATTTGTCAGCATAGATCTCCTGTTCGCCCACCAGCAGGCATCCAAACAAAAAGCAGATTGCTTATTTAAAAACAAGAAAGTAAAATTCCCAAGAAAAAAAAACAAAAAAAAAACGTGTGAAGTAATCTGTTCACACGGAGACTGATGGTAACAGGCACTTTCTCTGTAGTTTTGTGTCTGGCAACCATGAGATTAAAATGAGTAAATGGTCAACTACCATTATTTTGTTTTCTTTTTTGGGGTCAAACTTTTGACCCATACAAAAAATATCCTAATTTTAACTGTATTTGCATCGTAGTTTTAGATTTATAAGTTTTTTCCAAAGCAAACTTTAAAACAGACTTTATTTATACAGACATGTACGACAATATATAGTGAAAAAAGCTACCAGCACATTGCAAATAGTTGAGAAACATAAAATAAAGCCAGAGTGCAGGCTTCACAGGATTTGACCGACCTGTGTGTGAACTGCACTTGTGCTCACTAAAAAAAAATATGTCTGTTTGATCACAGCTGTTAGCCCCTTAGGTTTGATTTAGAAATACCAGCCCCTCTGTTGTCGTTTATTTGTTTATTAGCTGATCAAAAAAAAAAAAAAAAAACCCCAAAATGGAAACAAGAGAGTATTTGAAACCTTCCTACTTTGGTCAATGTGGATGAGGTTCTGATCTCATATGAAATACGTGACAGACTCAAGGCTGCCAGAAAAACAATATCTATATAAAAAGAACTTTCTGGAAACCACGGCACAAGGGAACAGTGACATCATGATAAATAATGACCACATTTTTTCTAACTTGGCATTTCACTACTAAATAATAACTTGTCATCATTCAAATTTAAAATAATATTCATGATTTGATTGGCTATTTACTGTATCTATCTTAAAAGATAGAAATGTTCTTTCTTTCTTTCTTTCTTTCTTTCTTTCTTTCTTTCTTTCTTTCTTTCTTTCTTTCTTTCTGTGTGCCAACAAACAGGGCATGTGATGATACTCTGCAAAGTCCCACTAAGTACATAATTCATAGGTGAGGATTTGAGATGCATGGATATGTATGAGAGCTAATAGTGTAACAGTGTGAGTGCCACCTCAGGTCTACACCTGCTCTCGGTCTGTGTTGTCAGTTCAGGCTCCGATGAACCTTGTTGTAATTTATCGATTTTATTTTTCTGGACAGAGGCTGAATCTTTTAGCTGATTAGAGAATTGAAGGACGACATGTTATCACCTCCTTCATCCCTAATGTGTACAGTCGTATGAGCTGTCGAGTTAAATCACTGCCCGTCAACAGGTTTGACTAAACTGCAGAATGCAGTCGGTCAGGTTAGTGACAGTGAGCAGAATAACCTGTTAACTCTGCTCTCTGTTAGTCACTCTCTGTTTTTCCCGCAGCAACATTCTTTCCTCCACATGTATTTTACATATTTTGAAAATATTTTCTCCAAGATTGTCAGGAAACAAAGCGCTTCAGCAGGGGAAGAGTTTTTACTGCTCTGTCTTTAATCCACGCGGCTGTAAATTTAAATACGACAGGCTTTTGGTGAGCTCTTCGAAGCCTTTTCATGCAGCTCTGATAAAGTGGATGATCACATATCTTATGGCAGTTAGTCTTAATAGCTGATGGTTGAGAGGTAAAAATCTACAGTGTGAGCGCTTCTTACTTTATATTAACATGTGGAAATGATGTTCTGTAAAGAAACGATCAACCAGTACAACCAAACAATGTGTCCTTGGTAAATGAGACCAACCACGCCAAGATGCCTAATAATAGATTTCAATGCTGATGGGTAAATCTGGAAAGGATTAAGTATTCTGCTGCTCCGACAGATTCCCTCTTCATTGTTTTTATGCAGCATGAATGCATCAGGCCTCCCAATGTACAATGTGGTCTTTTTTTTTTTTCTTTTTTTTTTTCCTTGAACGTACTTTATGTTTCTCAGCCGTTGTGGATTTAACGTGAACGCTCTGAACTCGTGCAAGGGGAAAGTTTTACAACTTCACCCATGTCATGGAGGTCAATTAGATTACTCTGGGTATATCCCCTTAAAGTGGCTGTTTTCTCTCTTTTTAGTCCCCAGCTGTGTTCTTTCAGGTTTATCAGAGGGAAGACTTAATGAGCATGTGCTTGCTTCATGAGGGTAAAAGAAAAAAAAAATCTGTAATCCTCTGATGTTTTGAAACATACGTTTGATCAGAAAGTGTAGAGAAACTGTAGGTATTTCCGATAACGTGTGGTGTTGTGCTGATTCCAGAGCGGAGGTGCATCCTCTCCTTGCGCCGCAGAGTGTTTACTTTGGATGCGGAGTCTGTTGACCGTTTGTCACCAGCAGCTTCACCCGTTTGTGTTAAACCCACAGAAGAATGGCTAATGAGCTTTTGCCCATTTGTGCAGAGCTCGGTTGGTTTTTAGCACCATCCCCAGAAGTGCTCGTCCAAATGGTGGACACTTACCCCTCTGTCAACCCAGATCTGAACAAATACCACTTATGTCTGCATGGTGAGCACACAGAAGGCCTCAGAGAAAAGCCCACAGCTCTCAGCAGTGGGGCATTAATGACAATCTGGAATACAATATGCAGTTCGACCCTCACTAGCAGTGGATGGCTTAAAGAGTGCACTTGTGTTGATGAAGAGTGTAGTGTGCTTTCAGCTATTTATTACGGTGACACAACCAGTGAAGAAAAAGGCAACATTTCAAAAGCTGCATGCTCTCTCACCGAGTGGAAGTAACACACCGGTTACTTCATTCTTAAAGTCCCCAGTAACACAATTTATCAACATTGTATTCACGGTAATGCACTGCACATGTTTACATATCCTCCAAACCATGAGGTTTTCACAGATAAGCTTTCTGGCCTCCTGTTCGGACCACTCAGGGGAGGAGCCGGGGAGTGGCCTAGAACAGTGTAGTCTTTGTGTCAGTTGTCCCCAAGTTGCTAAACGTCTTAGTTGTTCTTTCTCTGGCGACCAACTGTTACGAGTGATGTTCCACATAAATGTACTCTAAAGAAACTTCTGTGCGGCCACAGTGTGTGTGCGCCAGTGTCCGTGGCACCTTCAGCCTCCACTGTAGATAACAGGAGGCTCGCTTTTGCACTGGGTCCCGTCTGGGGTTTTCAGAGACGGGTGTGTGTGGCCTGTGTGTCGCATTGGAGCTCCAGTGACCCAAGGGCACTCATGTGAAACCCCTTTAATCCCTGTGCTCAGAGTGTTTTGGGTTGGGGGGGGGGGTGATCTCCTTCTTCAGCACAGAGCTATTCGTTGTGGATGTCGGTAATACAAAACAACACAGGTGTCTGAGTGATTCTGAGGCATGATCAGTCCTTTATGAGTATATGTACATACATTTAGTATTTTTCATGTCTAATCATAGTCTGTCCTTGTGAGAACCGTCTCTATATGACCCCGATCAAAGCCATGGCTGCTTTTAATGCCTTGTTCCACAATTTCTACGGTTAGATGAGTTATTGGCTGGTGCGTTCTGCTGCAAAGTTATGCATGTCTTAAAGGTTTCACAGATTATGGCTTCAAACCGCTCCCCTCACCACAAAATGACCAATTCAGGCTAGAATGGCTTCACTGCTACGTTCCCTGGAAAATTTCCGATTAAAATGCTGATTCAGGCCGTTAAAAAAAAAAAAAAAAAAAAAAAAAAAAAATGTACTCTGGCGCAGTCGCCCCGCTTTGTGTCAGTCTTTCCCTCTTCGGCTGGATTAAGGCTTAATTCTCTGAAAGTGTGACAATTGAAGGTAGACCACATAGCCAGCAGCATCCAGTGTTAAAATAGAACAATGAATGAATGAATCAGGCCTTATGTTCTAGCTCCGGCTCGACGTGTGATACTTATTTATCCGCCTGAGTCTCACAGTGACTCATTTAGGAAACTAGTAACCTCTTCTTACCTCAGAGTGAGCGAGCCTGTTTCCACACTGTGTGATTTGTTTACAAGACAACAACAAATAGGAGTCAGTTGTGGCGGTTTTTATGGTGTAAATGTTTTTTCAAAAAATGTATGTCAAACTGTTCCAGCTCAGATCGTTTTCACACAGACAATGTGGCTGTTCATTCTTGCGTGCAGGACGCTGGCTCTGAGCGTTATTATTTTTCTTGGGCAGCTGGTATCAAACTGCAAATGTTTGACTTGACAAGGGGTGCATGTGGCATGCGTGTTCATGTGTGTGTGCGTGTGTGTGTGTGTGTGTTTGTCTCAGCTTTTCCCTCTGCCTCTCTTTCTGCCTCTTGCCGTGTGAGCTGTTGGCTGTCCAGCCCTCCTCTCACTCTCAGCTCTGATTGTTTCCTGAGCGCCGTGCCAGATAGGAAGTAGGAGGAAGTTATTGGAGGAGCTGGAGAGAATTTATTAGGGCCAAACACAGACACAGGAGGGAGAAGGGAGGGTGGTGACTCTGATTTTTTTTTTTTTGAAATGGGGCTCATGCCTTTCATGAGTCTGAGGAAGGCAGCAGTGTCACCAGCCAGCTCATCACCTTCAATTTATCCCTTAAATAAAGGAGCAGTAACACTGTTACACATGTGCGTTTGCTGTAAATGCATGTGTGTGTGTTTCAGTGTGTCAGGAGGAATAAGGCAGCGTTTCCCATTCTTGTCAGAGAGCAGCTTTCCTGGCCTGGAACCTAAAATGTTTTCTTTATCTGTAATCTGACCTTAGAGAGCAGCTGCTCCTTCTGCCGCCAAGTCCTGTTGTTTCCTCAAGTGTTAGTGTGTGTGTGTGTGTGTGTGTGTGTGTGTGTGTGTGTGTGTGTGTTGAGGGGGTCTCAATGTGACAGCGAGCGCTCCCTCTACATCTGTGAGCACCCTTCAATCTTAACAAGACTTGTGGTTTTAATGTGGAGGAGTTTTAGGCTGCAGATTTGTTACTGTGTATAAACGTTAAGTCCGGTGGAGGTGTGTTTAACTCTCAGCTGAGCGGGGGGTGGGGTGGGGGTGGGGGTGGGGGTGGGGTGGGGGGGCTTTGAGCTCCCAGCAG